TGAACAATTAAAAATCTAACTAAATTGCATGCCACATATGACTCAAAACTCATCTCATACAAAAAATAAAATAGGTGAAGTTAACTACTATCTTCAATTACAGATAAGCAAATTTGCATTTTTTCTAATGAGCTGATATGATCCTATTACTGGCCCATCTTTTATTGACAGTAGAGAAAAGTACAGTGGGGCCTTGACTTACGAGTTTAATTCGTTCCCGTGATGGAGCTCATAACTCAAATTACTCGTATGTCAAATCAATTTTCACCATTACAGTGACACATGATGCTGGGCTGATGTTGTGGCGTTCACTGTGACGTTTGCTACGCCAACTAGCAGTGGGGTATCTGAAGCTGGCTCGTAACCAGGATTTTAGCTCGCAACTCAAAGCAAAAAATCGGCCGAGAAACGGCTCGTATCTCGAAAAACTCGTTTGTCGGGTCACTCGTAAGTCAAGGCCCCACTGTACACAGGAAAGTTAGCAACAATTTCTAAATAGGTAGGGGTTTTTTTTGCTTTTTAAAATGTAAAAAGATTACAATTTAAATTAGGTGTTTCAAAAAATTGCTATAGAATTTTTCAGATTATATGAGTGAGCAGATATACAGAAGCTTAATTTCTAATTTTAAATATGACTGCTGGCCAGTAAAACTATGCTAAATATAGAAAGGGCTTTCTTAATGACCCGCAAAGATGATTTATTTTGTTCTTGACTTTAACCCCATTTGACCAACTGCTCAGAATTTTTCAATATGAGTCATATTGTATTAATTAATTTATTCCACCTGTTTGCAGGGGGAAAAATACAAATTAGCCTGGTGAGCAGCAAAATAGAGACAAGTTTTTAAGAAACCTAAGTTGTGTTAACCTGCAATCAAATGTAATCTTTATTTTAATATTTATACATTTTTATGTTGTTATGAGCCTATTCTTAACGTGGATTTTATTTATTTGTTTCTCTCCTCCCTTATTTCTGTGAAATGCAGAAAGGAAAGGGTGTTTGTTATTCATACATTTATACCCCACTAACTGGTGTTACACATCTGGCTTCCACTGGAGAGCCCCTGACATCGCAGGGAACGGTGATCAAAATTCCACACACTAGCTTCATGCTGGGGGCTCGTAGCTACTGCAGCATTGAAGAGGGCCTTTTCCTGGCTTCTTTAAAATAAGCATGGAGATGGGATGGTTTAAGGGAAGAACACCTCTCAAGTCACATGACCACTGCTGCGCTTCTGTGTGTCCTGCTTTCTTCATAACAGCTTGGCACCACTACATTCTTTCCCTGTATCTTAGTGGGCTTGTGTGTACGAGTGGGATGGGGGTTGGGGTGGGGCGTTGTCAGTGGATGGTTATACATCATGCATGCAATGTTAGAGTGATGTGCCTTCCCTTATGTGTCACAGATTATGATCACAGATTAAATCTTCTGTGTTCCTGAGAGACTGGGCCGTCTCTCTCTTATTGGTGTGAGATTCATGTGTTTTGATGTTTACACCCTCAATTGTTCTTCATGTTGCATTAAACATAATTTGAAATGTTCTCCTTTAAGAGTTAGCTTTTCATGTTGGGCTGAAAAAGTCTTCATTTCTGTGTAGCAATTCATGTTATTATAACCAATGGCTTTCAATTGCACCTCCCATAATGAAGAGCTGACTTTAAACACTGTGCTATTCTTGTTATGACCTAAGCATAAGGTAAGTCACTTCTCTAACTGTATCTAAAGATTGTGGTTGTTTGTTAAATTTTTCTCAGTTTTGTTTAAAGCATTTTCACTTTTTCCCTTACCATTTATTGCGTGTTCTCCCCCATTTTGTTTTCTGTTTCATGGCTTTAAGATTTGTTAATGGGCAATGTGATCTTCAGCAAAATTATATTACACATGTAAACACATGTTGAAATTAATTAAATGAATTATTTAATGTCTGAAAGCAGTCTTGATTAGTAAATGAATACCTATATTTTTTTTAATATATTTTATTGATTTTTTACAGAGAGGAAGGGAGAGAGATAGAGAGTTAGAAACATCGATGAGAGAGAAACATCGATCAGCTGCCTCCTGCACATCCCCCACTGGGGAAGTGCCTGCAACCCAGGTACATGCCCTTGACCAGAATCGAACCTGGGACCTTTCAGTCGGCAGGCCGACGCTCTATCCGCTGAGCCAAACCGGCTTTGGCGAATACCTATATTTTCAGTGAGTCTCTTGTACGTCTCATTTCCTCCATTGACGTTTCTACACCATTATTGTAGTTTTGACTCCAGTTGAAAGAGAACTTCATTGTCAACACAATAAAGTCAGATGTTAATCCAATAGAATAAAGTAATAGATAATCCAATACCATATTTTTCATTTTTAATCCCTAAAAAATTTGGTATTAGGGCAAAATATTGGTTTTATTTTGTTTTTCAAACTTTATTTTTCTACATTGAGTAAAAATCCAGGGTAAGATAAAACAAAACAATAAGCCATAAAACTTGAGACAGACCTGTGTTACCTTCTTTATAGTTCATATGTGTGAGAATAAGAACAATAGTTGTTTCTCAACTTTATTCTTTCAAGTAAATTCCATTTCATTATGAGTTAAGTAAAGTCTTTATATTGGGATTTTATAAAATAAATAGATAAAGATGACCACTTTAATGGTACAAGAGAGAGGGGCATCTGCTACATGCATAAATATTACATTTTTAAAATTATTTTACTCAATATTTTTACATACATACTCAAAATCACTAAAGTTTATGTAATTGTTGATTTTAAAAGTGATTTCCCTCGATCTAGATCAAATAGCCAATGTAACATAAATGAGAAAACATTGCTAATACTGCTGTTGGCAATTTATGAACCTAAATAAATAACAGACTCACAAAATTGAATTGTTTTCATCATCCAAATTTCTCTCCCAAAACCATTTGGGGGAAAAATAATTCTAAAATGAGGTGCTACAAAGCAAATCAGTGTTCTTTATTAAATTTACGCTATGAATGGACTTTTTAATTTTTTAAGCCATCTATGGAAGGGACACGGTGTTCTTTTATTGTAGTTTTGCTTTGGGTTTGTTTTTTGTTTTGTTTTGTTTTTTTGTTTGGTTTTGGTAAAGCTGGCTAGTTCTTCACCACCATTTTCATTTAGACATTATATAAACCTGTTGAAACATTTGATGAGAAGATTTGAACTACTCATCTGAACTGCTCTGTTCATTATAAATCTCTTGTTTCTATCCATACACTAGCTCCACTCTAGATTGGAAGGGCTTAAAGATGAACTCTGGAGGAATAGAGGCTACGACTTAAGAGTAACTATTACTGATCAAAGGAGCTGCTTTCCATTCGCAAACATTGCTTTGCGCTATGGGTTTGGGCTCCTTCTGTTTCTACATCTTGTTGAAGACTTTCTTGACTTCCATTTGACTTCTTTGAACTCTGTTTTTGTCTTTCAACATTTTCCCTTTCTTTTTCTTCTCTCTCCCAGATGTTTCTCTCACTCTTTAGCTTTCTCTTATGTTCTTTGAATCACTTTTTAAAATGTAGTTTATCTCTTTATTAAGCTTGTCTATTAATTTTTCTATTAGTGTTTGTTTATTTTCTCCTTTAAGGCTGTAGTGGTATAGTTACACTTATTTTCATTCCATGGTATGTCAACTTGCTTGTTTATCTTGCAGCAAGTTCATTCGTCATTCTTACCCTCTTGATATGAATTTTCAATAAGAAATAGCATTAACATATAGTCCCCTTCTGTAAACCCGTACTTTCTTTTCTATCTGCTAGAGTTACCACCCCATCTCTTCTTCTTTTTTTTTTTTTCCTCACTCTTGTGTTTTCCTCCCTGTATTGTTTTCTTTAAGTAGTCATTGATATCTTTCCCATTTGGTCCAGAATTGTTCCCCAATAAAACTTATGAGTAAAATAATATAACAATACTATTTTCTAGATTAGCTTCTTCATTATAGTATATTTAAATCTAATTAAACAATCTGGACCAAAAGAGAATAACTTTAACATCTGGAATTATTTTCTTTTTTTTTCTTTTTTTGGTGTGTGTGTGTTTTTCTTGTGTGTATGTGATTTTTTTTTATGTTGTTGTTTCTTTAAACATTAACAATTGTTTTTTTCAGGGAAGGACAACCATAATCCACCCTAAGTTGCAACATTCCTTTCATAAATTGTTTCATTACAATAGTAGATTGTGTTAAGCTATAGAAATTAATTTTTTGTGTATATATCCATTTGGGGCAAGCTGCTGTGGAATGGGAGGAAGAGGTGTGGAGTTTAAATGCAATTTACTCTGAAATTAACAAGTGATAGTGCCATTCAACATGGCCCTTGAATTCAACAGTTTTACAGCATTTAAAAGAATGTTCCACTTTGAACTAAAATATTTTAATCAAAGCATAAAAGTTTCTGATTGATAAACTATATATACACACCTAAGAACTGGTAAATAAATGTATTCGAAATCATTGATTTCAAACAGGTGCAACTTTTATAACCAATATTAATAAATACAATAAATAACAAAAGTTATTAGAATCACACATAAATATTGTATCTGAGGATTTTCCCCTTATTAACATGGAACAAACATTACAATAGAATATTTGATTGTAACTTTAATACTTGAATTGCATTATTCTAGTCAATAGATAAACATAATGCCTTAAGATTAAGGGTCTTTATTTGCAACTGAATATGTGGTAACTTGAATTTTTTTCCATATGCTAAGTTCATATACACATAAATAAAAAATTGCCTTCGGTTTTACAATCCTGTCACATTTATAATATTGTACTCCCATTTTTTTCTGGAAATCGGTTACTTAAAGGAAAGGATAATAATATATAAAACAAATGTAGCATATTTTTACTAACATGTTCTGATATCTGAGATATCTAGAACCCTTGCTCCTAGACCTCAGGAGTTTGCCCAATAAGAATACATACATATCTGGCTATCTATGTTAGAAGCCCTAAATTACTGAGTTTATGCTTTCTTTGCAGGTCCAATCCAGGTGCAGCAGCAAGGAGAACATTCTCAGAGCCAGTAAGTATGTGCTTATTTCAGATGGACTAGTGAATCAGAGCTTGTGGTTCAACAGGAATGAACCCTAAAAATGTCATTTTGGTGAAAGAATGAAGAAGGTAATAGGTAACTTTTATATCAAAAATATGAATAGGGCTTTTACCTTCTAAGAATATTAGTATCAATATAGTAATGGATGTTTCCTTTATTCTAATTGTCTTTGCAAGCTAACAGCAAAACTTTGATAACACTCCTAGTTAGGGTGATAATGAGCACCTCTATTATTCTAAGATGGGAACCTTCTTTAATTGCCTCACTGCCAAAAAAGTTACTTAAAAACAGACTAACTGAAAATAATAATCTAAATTCACTAAAAGAATCTAACTAAAAAAAAGTGACTCCTAAAAGGATACAGCATAATCATTTTATGTATGTGCATTCCTGAAAGATCTTACTTCACAGGCAGCATGTTTTAAAAATAGTGCCATGAACCATGGATAAAGAAACCTCTTTTTTATTTTTTTTTTTGTTTGATTGCTAGTAACGATAACTTGGAAGTCATTTAACTTTGTGTATTATTCATTTTTTTATTTTATAAAAAGGAACTATTTTTTATTTTATAAAAAGGAACTATAAATAACCTGCATCCTTGAAATGATGTGATGTTGAAGGTTGTGCCTTAAAAGCTTTGGGATTCTAAGAGAAAATGCTGTATAAATGCTAATTACTTTACTATTATTTTCTTTCACTTAATATTAATGATATCATCCTTTCTTATTCCTCTTCTTTATCAAAAGAAGAAGTACAGGTGGATCATACTGAAATGGGTCTATTGGATACTTATACCACTAGGAGTTTTAGTAAATGGGATTATTTATATTTCCAGTAGAATGTGTATATTATTTAACATTAAAAAAAAATAACAAAATTTCAGATGGGTAAAAATTCATGTTTTATTTTCTTTAATGTAAATTTTTTCCCATTTCTGTTTTATGAATCTTTGCTTGAAACTATTGAATTGATAGGCAAGCATATTGCAATTATTTGCCCAAGACATTTATGTTAGAGTTATATAAAAAAAAAATAAATGCAAACAGCCATGTTTAATCTCTATACTTTGCGAGTTTCTACAGCATTTTAAAAGACATGAGAAAGGCTTTTCAATTATAAGAGATGTAAAGTCCTATAGTCCTATACTAACTCCTAAGGTTGAAAAACCTAAGAACCAGGTGAATGATAATTGAATATTCACTAAAATAAAATAATAGATATAAATTAAATTTTAAAATTACATTTTATAATGATTACTGTATGATTTCCATTTTTTTGTTGATCCGGAGATGATAATGAATAAACTGATAGTGATTATGGTGATTAGAACAAAAATAATTTCTTATGGAGAACAGACTTCTTTGAACCCTTTTTCACTTCTCATGGACCTTTGTGTTGTTAGGACTGTCTTTCATTTCACTGTACTCTTACTGGCTTGTTGGCTAGTAATCACTTTGGCTGGACATCATGATGGTTCAGGTTTTTCTGATCTTGAATTCTTGGGATGGAATATACTCCTGTTGGAATATGCTACTTTGTAGATTGTTGAAATATCAACAAAGGATTTAGAATATTATATAAACTTAGTTGATAAAGCAATGGCAGGGTTTAAGAAGATTGACTCCAATTCTGAAAGAAGTTCTGTAGGTAAAATGCTATCAAACAGCATAACATGCTACTGAGAAATTATTTGTGAAAGGAAGAGTCAATAAATATGGCAAACTTAATTTTATTATCATTTTAAGAAATTGCCACAGCCACCCCAACCTCCACCAACCACCACCTTGATCAGTCAGCAGCCATCAGCATCAAAACAAGACTCTTCATGCCCTAACTGGTTTGGCTCAGTGGATAAAGCTTCGGCCTGTGGGCTGAAGGGTCCGAGGTTCGATTCTGGTCAAGGGCATGAACCTTGGCTGCAAGCACATCCCCAGTAGGGGGTGTGCAGGAGGCAGCTGATCAATGTTTCTCGCTCATTGATGTTTCTAACTATCACTCTCCCTTCCTCTCTGTAAAAAATCAATCAAATATATTAAAAAAAAAAAAAAGACAAGACCCTACTAGAAAAAAAGATTATGAGTCTCTGAAAGTTTAGAAGATAGTTGGCATTTTTTAGCAATAGCAAAACAAAACAAACAAACATATAATTTAATTAAAAATGGGCAAAGGACCTGAATAGACATTTTTTAGAAAAAGACATATGAATGGCCAACAGGTACATGAAAAGATGCTCCGCATCACTAATCATAAGGAAAATACAAATCAAAACCACAATGAGCTTTCACTTCATGCCTGTTAAGATGGCTGTCTTCAGAAAAACAAGAGATAACAAATGCTGGCAAGGAGTGGAGAAAAGTGAATCCTGGCCCGCTGTTGGTGGGATTGTAAATTGGCACAGCCACTAAGGAAAATAGTATGGAGTTTCCTCAAAAAAATAAAAATTGAAATACTGTATATTAGCAATTCTACTTCTGGGTATTTATCCAAAGGAAACAAAATCAGTATCTCGAAAAGATAGCTGCAACCCCCATGGTCATAGCAGCTTTGGACCTAAGTGTCCCTCAATGAATGAATGGATAAAGAAGTAATGAGATAGATAGATAGATAGATAGATAGATAGATAGATAGATAGATAGATAGATAGATAGATATTATTCAGCCATAAAAAAGGAGGAAATCTTGCCATTTGCAACAACATAGATAGACCTTGAGGGCATCATGATAAGTGAAATAAGTCAGATAGAGCAAGGTAAATTCTGTATGATCTCATATGTAGAATAAAAACAAACTCATAGAAAATTGATCATTTGTGGTTACCAGAGGTCCAGAGGTGTTGGGTTGGGAATTGGATGAAGGTAGTCAAAAAGTACAAACTCCCAGGTATAAGATAAATAAGTATTGGAGATGTAATATACAACATGACACTATAATTAACACTGCTGTGTAGTGTACTTGAAAGTTGTTAAGGCAGTAGAGTTCATATTACAAGAAAAATAATATTTGTATCTATGTAAGATAATAATGTTAACTAACTGTGGTAATCATTTCACAATATGTGAAAGTCAAATTATAATGCTGTACACCTTAAACTTACACAGTGCTCTATGTCAATACATCTCAATAAAACTGGGGGTGAGGGGACAAAAACAAAATTAAGCCAAGAGAATAAATCTCTTTCTCACTCTGAGGAGTCTTCAGAATAAGATATAGGGTTATTAGTCAAACTACCTAATTTTCTGACTTCTTTATTTGCATGCTGGTTGTTTTTAGTAATAACAGTGATCCCAGAGAAGTCTACAGGCGTATAAGCAGCACATTCTTACCCAATATCAGCACATGTTATTCCATAAGAAGACAATATTATATCTAAAGCAGCTAAGGCACTGTCATTGTAATTTCATGAAACTTTCAAATAATGAGTTATTTAGCCTTGGGGGAATTATGTAACTCATCCGTTATTCTCTGAATCATAGCATGTAGCACCTTCCCTACTTATAGGGCCTTTTGTAAAGCTTGAAGTAAAGAGGCTTGAGAAAGGAAGAAAGAAATACAGAATTTCCCTTGAGTGATCAAGAATTTGATTGTTGCATTAAGGCCCAATTTTCCTACTTTTTAAAAATTAAGTTATCTAACAATCTAGGAACTGGTGCTGTGTTTTTTCTTAGAAAAGAAACTGATTGTCTAAAATGGGTTCTTGAAGAAGCTCCTTGCAGTAAGTACTTCATCTACTACCTCAGTTTCCTCATCTGCAAAATGAAGATAATAAAAGAGTATTTTGCACATAGGAGTAGATAGAGGTTTAGATGGCCTGATTTGAATCTTACTGGGTTCAATCGCAGTAATTCTCCTGTTTGTTGAAATTTTGCCCACAAAGTGTAAAAGGTCTGGCATCTTTTAGAGATCTTCAATTTGGGGTTGATCTCCTGGAGATCTTCAATATTCAAATTAGCTATAATCTCATTACAAACAGGGGAGTCTTTGGGGATTTCAAGGAAGGAAAACATCAGGAGAACATTTCATCTACCAGTATCAATTCCATTTATATAGTACATTCTGCCTATCAAGTTAGCAGGAATATTACAGAGGAGGAAAAACTGTTTCTATGTTAAACTTCTGAGGGTGACAGTTATGAAGGACACGACAGAGAATTATTAGAGATACCCACCAATGAGTAGTTTTTTTTACTGCAATGAAGAGATTGTATTGCAGTGGTACAATTTAAGTTTGATGTATGTGAGGAAGGGATCCAACTTAATTTCTTTTGCTTATAGGTATTCAGTTGTCTCAATGCCATTTGTTGAAGAGATTGGTATTAGCATACTTGTCAAAATCTATTTACTATAGGTGTATCAGTTTATTTCTGGACTGTCATTTCTATTCTGTTGATCTATATGTCTATCCTTATGCCAATCTCACCCTGTTTTGATTACTGTAACTTTGTAAGTAAGTTTTAAAATTAGTAAGTGAGAGTCTTCCAACTTTGTTCTTTTTCTATATTGATTTGCCATTTCATCTGAATTTGAAGATTGGCTTTTCTATTTCTTGGAAGAAAAAAAAAGCCTTTAGAATTTTGATAGATATTACAATAAAACCATGGATTGCTTTGGGTAGTATTGTTATCTTAATATTAAGTCCTCTAATCTCTATTTCTTTGGATCTTAACATGAGGCTCACTTTTGCACTCACTTTTATGTTCTATGCCAATTTGTGCATTTTCACATGGCATGTGGAGATTCCACTCCAAGTCACAAAGTAATCTGTATATTTCATCTCTGGAGGAATTTTTATCACACATTTTCTTGCCTCAGAAGTGAAACCAATGTATCAATGCCAAACTTAGGACTAATGTGGTCTGTTGTATCAGACTCTAGGCACCTCTCCCCATTTGCCTCTCCATCCACTTCAGCCAAGCCCCAGCGCCAGGCAGGCCATTCCAATCGCCAGTCCTGCAAGAGGCTACCCTGTGGCCA